ATTAGTTGAATTGGCTTCTTCATCCTTCCACCCTTGGTCCTCCCTCTACCAGTGACAAGATATTTATTTTGGAGGAGGGGGAGGGCTATTCAACTGAAGGGCCAAAGACGCCCTACAAATGGGTCTTTGGGATGTCTTGCAAGCTGTTGCGGGTCTGTTCACCAATCTTAGAAAAATTGGGATGACGTTAGCCATGTTCTCGCATTGAAAATTGCACATTTTTCGCACTTCATTTAATTGGTTTGGAGTCTTGAGAAAAAATATAAAATTTAATGTCTACAAATCATCAATATGAAAACAAAACGCTTGTACAGTTTTACAACCGATTTAGGCAACTTTCAACTCCGCAGCCCATTCTTGAGGCGACCTTCCATAGTTCCCTCCCCCCTTTCTTCCATCACTGCTCCATATTTTTCTTGTGTGATGTATCTCCAAGAAAATGTCCTCATATTTCAACTTACCTCATGAATGAATGGAAAGCTCCCATTTGTTGCCATCTCAAACACAACTCTTCATTTGATTCGCCGTTGAATCCGCAGATGTCAGAGCCAACGTAGCTGGAAATATTTTTATGAATTTACAGTAATGCTTATCAGCAAAAGCACTTCTTCGGGAAACTTACGGAATTCCAAACATATTGAACTCTTGCGCTCCAACTACGGATGTTTGGAGATCTTCCCAAGTGGCAGTGTTGTCACCCAACCAATGCCCAGCGTATTTCCCACTTGATGGGAAGGTAGACCTAAAGTGGAATCATTTTTTGTCAGAGTTTTCTCGAATAAATATTGGCACCTTGACACAACAGCTCCTCTTTTTCCGGTTGACTGGTATAGGGCTTGCTGTGAAGCTTTCGACTCTGCTAGGCCGTAGAGATTTTTCACATTGTAGAACCTTTGAGTTCCATTTGCTTGTACCGCCAACATGCATAGCGTTTTTGACGCCAGATACGAATTCTAGAAACAAATTTTCAAGCCTGTTTGGGTTTTCCATCCAAGGAACACTTCAACATACCCCTCCAAAGTAGTAAACAGAATGTGTTTTGTATGGCGGCATGTCCCATTCTGCATCCTTTCCTCCTTCGTTTGTTGGGCACCTCAAGGGTTCATCGTCGGGATGGTCAGCACTATCGTAATAGAATGGATGAGGCTCATTTGTACCGAAGTTTGATGGCTCGTTCATGTCGATCCAAATACCGTCATAAGGCACCTGAAAGTGCCACTTGGAATTCTGTTGACTTACACCTGGTTTTACACTGGTAACATGAATACTGCGGGGCTTCCACAAAGGCAAAGGATTCGTGAGACTGGTCAAGTTCCTTATTTTTGAGTAGAAAGATTTTCGTTCACGGGT